TTCGCAGACCACACACACACACACACAACAAAAGGATCGTTGCAGATCGGCTTTCCTACCTGCAAAAAAAACTACTAAGCAAATCATTTATTTTATTTTTTAAATAAATGCCTCGATGGCCATCGAAGCCACCCGAAAGGAAGCCGCGCGGCAAAAAAAGGCCAACCAACCAGGACGAATTTGATTTCGGAAAACTCCTAACTCGCAAATAATGATGATGATGATGATGATGATGATGATGATAATATACTTGGTTGATACTAGGACGCTGGCAACAACCCGTATCAACCATTAGCACCAGTCAATGGTATTTGTGATGCATTTTTGAATGTTCAGTTGACAAGAGTTTCATGTTTAATGAATAAAGTAAATAATAATAATCAGCCCGTTTCAACCATTAGTATCAACAATAGTCAATGGTATTTGTGATGCATTTTTGAATGTTCAGTTGACTGAGTTTCATGTTTAATGAATAAAGTAATAATAATACTGATAATACTAATACTAATCAAACCGTATCAACCATTAGCATCAACAATAGTCAATGGTATTTATGATGCATTTTTGAATGTTCAGTTGACAAGAGTTTCATGTTTAATGAATAAAGTAAATAATAACCCGTATCAACCATTAGCATCAACAATAATCAATGGTATTTATGATGCATTTTTGAATGTTCAGTTGTCAAGTTTCATGTTTAATGAATAAAGTAAATACTAATACTAATACTGATAATACTAATACTAATCAAACCGTATCAACCATTAACATCAACAATAGTCAATGGTATTTATGATGCATTTTTGAATGTTCAGTTGACAAGAGTTTCATGTTTAATGAATAAAGTAAATAATACTGATAATACTAATAATAATCAACCCATATCAACCATTAGCATCAATAATCAATGGTATTTATGATGCATTTTTGAATGTTCAGTTGACTTGAGTTTCATGTTTAATGAAGTAAATAATAATAATACTGATAATACTAATGCTATTAATAATCAACCCATATCAACCATTAGCATCAAGAATAGTCAATGGTATTTATGATGCATTTTTGAATGTTCAGTTGACTGAGTTTCATGTTTAATGAATAAAGTAAATGATAACTAATAATAATAATAATAATAATAATAATAATAATAATAATAATAATAATAATAATAATAATAATAATAATAATAAAGTCCCAACACATATTTCTGTGCGTCCAACCAATGCTCACCTTCTCCCCTGCAAAGCTGTAAAAATCTCCCGTTGCAACCGGCCGGCATTCGGTCCATTAAACTAGCATGATGGTTGTTGGTTCCCACCAAGGCCCAAGCTGGCTTGTTTCTTTGTTAGTTCCCTGCTTGCTCCATCTTAGAGACCCGGGAGAAAGAGAGGAGGAGGAGGAGGAGGAGGAAGCGGCGGGGTTCATTTCGCCATGGTGGGTGGGTGGGTGTGGATGGAGTAGGGGGTGTGGGGGGGGGGCTTCGTTGTCGTTTGGGGAAGGCGGAGGGAGTTAAGGATCGCGGTTTCTTTTTGGGGGGGGAAGAAGAATTGGGGTGAGAGGGGGTCCCCCACCAAGGCCGAGTTTGCAAAGCAGCGGCTCTTCTTCTTCCTCCGGGGTTTGCAATGGCAGCTCCCGCCGCCGCTGCTTGCTGCTGCTGCTGCTGCTTGGGAGCCGCCAGCAAAGTGGGTGCAAAAAAGAAAAAAAGAAAAAAAAAGGGGGGGGGGGAAAAAAAAAAAAAAGGGGGGGGGAAAAAAGGGGGGGAAAAAAAACAAAAAAAAAAAAAAAAAACCCGAGAGGCAGAAAGGAGCGGAGCGCAGAGCAAGCCGCTTCCCGGGGGGGTAGCAGGGGAGGGAAAGAAGAGCCGGCAGCGGGGCGGCTCAGCCTCCTTCTCCTCCTCCTCCTCCCTCCCCCCGCAGGGAGCTGCCTGCTTTGCTTTGGCTCCTCCTCCGCCTCCTGCGCGCCGGGCGGCTGGGCGAGCGAACGAGCGGAGGAGGAGGAGGAGGAGGAGGAGGGGAGAGGAAAGCTGGCGCGCGGCCGAGAGGAGGGACCGCGCGCGGGGCCGCGGCCGCGCGCGGGGCTTTTTTTGTTTGTTTGTTTCCTACTCGGAGGCCTGGAGGGTGCGCGCGCGGCCGAGGCCAAGATCTTTAAAAAAAAAAAACGGCGCTGAACACACGCACACCCCCCCCCCCCCCCCCCCCCCCCCCCCTCTCTCTCTCTCCATTCGCTTGGCTTTTGAGAGACGCGCTTCTGAGGGAGAATCTTTGTAGCTCTGGTTCCCCCAAAGGCGCTTTTTTTTTTTCCAAGAGGCAAACTGGACTGTCTTTGTTTTTCCTTCAAAAGACGTTTCGCTTCTCATCCCAAGAAGCTTCTTCAGTTCTGTTGAGGAAGAATAAGAATAGAAAAGAATAGAATAGAATAGAATAGAATAGAAAAGAAAAGAAAAGAAAAGAAAAGAAAAGAGAAAAGAAAAGAAAAGAAAAGAATAGAATAGAATAGAATAGAATAGAATAGAATAGAATAGAATAGAATAGAATAGAATAACTTTATTGACACTGAATGTACACTAAGGCATGTCAGAAAGGAGGAAGAAGAAAGAAAGAAAAAGAAAAGAAAAGAAAGGAGGAAGATGTTTCGCTTCTCTTGAGGAAAAAGACGTTTCCCTTCTCATCCAAGAAGCTTCTTCACTTCTGTTGAGGAGGATGTTTCCCATCTCTTGAGGAAGAAGATGTTTCCCTTCTCATCCAAGAAGCTTCTTCACTTCTGTTGAGGAAGAAGATGTTTCCCTTCTCATCCAAGAAGCTTCTTTGGTTCTGTTGAGGAAGAAGATATTCTGCTTCTCTCGAGGAAGAAGTTGTTTCCCTTCTCATCCAAGAAGCTTCTTCAGTTCTATTGAGGAAGAAGAAGAAGTTTCCCTTCTCATCCAAGAAGCTTCTTCGGTTCTGTTGAGGAAGAAGATGTTTCGCTTCTCTTGAGGAAGAAGATGTTTCCCTTCTTATCCAAGAAACTTCTTCACTTCTGTTGAGGAAGAAGGTATTTCACTTCTCTTGAGGAAGAAGCTTCTTCAGTTCTGTTCAGGAAGAAGAAGATGTTTCCCATCTCATCCAAGAAGCTTCTTTACTTCTGTTGAGGAAGAAGGTATTTCACTTCTCTTGAGGAAGAAGGTGTTTTCCTTCTCATCCAAGAAGCTTCTTCAGCTCTGACAGGATAGTGGGGAATGGAAGGAATGGAACTATCCAGTCAGAGCGGAAGAAGCTTCTTGGATGAGAAGCAAAATGTCTTCAAAAGAAAAAACAAGAAAGTCCAGTTGCCTCCTGAAAAAGCACCTTTGGGATAACCACGATCTGGATGACTCGGAATCTCTACAAACTTAAAGAAGAAGAAGATTCGCTTCTATTAAGGAAGAAAATGTTTCCTTTCTCATACAAGAAGCTTCAGTTATGACTGAATGTAATGTAAATGACAAGCAGAGATGTAAGACACTCTGATTCACAAGCTGAAGAGATTATCTTTGCAGGAAAATCCGAAGGCAACCCATGTTTTTACATTTGTTCTTACATTTCAGACATGTTAAATCAGATAGGAAAAATGATTCATTGCATAAGAACAAAAACATGAGTTCAGTTTATACATGTAATAAAAGCACTCATAGAGAAGACACTACAGGTAGTCCTCGACTTGAGACCACAACTGAGCCTAACATTTATATTGCTAAGTGAGATATTTGTTAAGTGAGTTTTGCCCCATTGTACAACCTTTCTTGCCACAGTTGTTAAGTGAATCACTGCAGTTGATAGGTTAGTAAAAGCATTGCTAAGTGAATCTGGCTTCCCCATGGACTTTACTTGTCAGAAGTTCGCAAAAGGGGATCACATGACCCCAGGACACTGCAATTGTCATAAATATGAGTCATTTGCCAAGCAAGTCTGAATTTTGATCATGTGAACGTGGGGGTGCTGCAATGGTTGTAAGTGTGAAAAACTGTCGTAGGTCACTTTTTCAGTGCCGTTGTAACTTTCGTCACTAAATGAACTGTAGTAAGTCAAGGACTACCTGTACAAACTGTAGGATAATCAGCCAAATGTAGGATAGTGAACGGTGACTGGTTGTAAGTCAAGGACTACCTGTATAGAGCCATTTGTCCAGAATGTGTAGGGTCTTCTTGAGCAGAAGGCTAATTAGAAGATCTATAAGGTCCCTTCCAACTCCTTTATTCTATATTCTATGGTGCTTCTACAAAATGCATATTTTTCAAAGGCCCAACCAAAGCATTACAGATAGTCCTCATCTTATGACTACAAAATTTATGTTGCCATGTGAGACATTTGTTAAATGAGATTTTCCCCATTTTATGACCTTTCTTGCTAGATTTGTTAAATGAACCACATCAGTTGTTAAATTAGTAGCACGGTTATTAAGTGAATCTGGCTTCCCCACTAACTGTTTGTCAGAAGGTCATAAAAGAAGACCACATGATCCCAGGACACTGCAAATGTCATAAATATAATTAGTGGTTTTCACTTACTTTCGCTACCGGTTCAGAACTGTGAGCGTGTTTGCAAGTGGTGCTTCTGCATATACGCAGAACCTTCTGCGCATTCGCAGAGCGTCCGTGATGACGTCCAGGTGGGTGGGCAGAGCCTCCGAACCAGGGCGAACCGGTAGAAACCCACCACTGATAAATATGAGTCAGTTGCTGAGTGTCCGAATTTTGAGCATGGGACCATTGGGATGCCACAATGGTCATAAATGTGAAAAATGGTCATATGTCACTTTTTTCAGTATGTTGTAACTTTGAACGTTCTCTAAAAGAACTCTTAAGTCAAGGGCTACCTGTATTTAGGACTAATGAGTAGAAATTAGTCAAGGGGGTTGCATTATGCTATTTACTGGGAAGAGAATTCAGATTGTCGGAGTCTTTCATCTCCATTGTTCCATTCTGAAACCCTTTGTGTTGAAAAGGCCTTTGTTTAGGGGAGAAGAAAAAAGGAAAGCACTGACTTTTGATTTTTTGGCAGAGTAGAATATGGTAATAACATACAATCTCAATTTTTTACTTTTACATAATAATATATACCAGCCCGTCTCTATAACAACAAACCTATTTAATCAGCAAAACCACCTCAAGCCCACGTTTATTCATCCAGGCCCCAGCGGAAGGATCAGAAGTAGGAAACCATCAGCTGCATGCAGAGACTTGTTGGGTTGCAAATCTGCCTTCCTGCTCACAGTTCATAGCAAGACCAGGACTGCGCATGTACAGGAGTGACGAGTCAAGAGGAAAATAAGGGGGCAGGGAGGAAACAGTCGATCCAAGCTGCTTCAGTTTCATCTAATGTTAAGCTCAATTCGTTGCACAGAACCAACCCAGGATATGTTTTTGTGAACTCACTAGAATGCTGAGTTTACCCATATTCAAAGAATGAAACCTTGCTTTGATTGGAGGCATTTGCCTGCAAAGCTGCTCTGATTCCAGGATGCTTTTGAATTTCCCCAGTAGAAGAGATGTAGAATTATTTTTTGTCCTAAGAAAAAAGATAATGCAGGGCCATCAAACTCGCATCGTCATGGTGTTGTCACGTGACATATTGGGAATTTTTTCCCCTTCGCTAAACCGGGCGGGGGTGGGGCCAGCACGTGACGCAACTGGGCCGCAGGCCGCGAGTTTGACACCCCTGCTATAATGTATACATATGCAAGTAAACCTCCCCATACAACTATAACTGGGACCATAAAATCCATTACTAAGTGAAGTGGTTGTTAAATGAGTTGCTCTAGATTTTATAACCTTGCTTTGTCATTAAACAAAGCATGCAGTTGTTAAGCAAATCATCCTGTCATTAAACATCCGGCTTCCCCCTTTGACCTCACTTGTTAGAAACCTACCAGGAAGATTGTAAAAGTGATCATGTGAACCCAGGATGCTGCAGTTGTGACCGCAGGACTGTCATAAAAAAAGCACTTTGCCAAGTGGCCAGATTTGATCATGTGACTGTGGGGATGCTGCGATGGTCATGAGTGTGAGGATCGGATATAAGTCACTTTTTTCAGTGCCATTGTAACTTTGGTCACTAAATGAATGGTTGTACGTCGAGAATTACCTGTATTCTCTTCTATTTAAAATGTATTGTATTCCATTCCACTTCTTTTCAGCCCAAGTTCTACATCACAGGATTGTTGTGGGAAAGATCTGGAGTAGAAATTACCACCTTGACTTTTGTGCAATTACTACCCTGCTCTCAGTTCCCTGGGCCTCTGATATTATATTATTTCTCCTGTGTGAAAACCTGTCAGACTAAAAAAAGAATTAACAATGCATGCAATCAGATTTTAAGCCGGCTAGATGGTTTCTGGAGACACTGCTTAAGATATTGGATTCTCGCCTTGCATAACACCACATCTAATTCTAGTGTCATTTAATGTTGACAAAGGATTGACAAACTATAATTTGGGCCAGATCAAATTTGAATAGGGAAGAGAATAATAATAATGATAATTTGAGATGCAGAAGTGACCATCGTATATCGCTGGATTTCATTCAAGCCCAAAGGATACAGAGGCAGCCATTCAGGTTGGTGCAGAGTTCAGATTTCATCCCATTAGCAATTTTTTTTCAATGTGGGTGGAAACGTGACTCTTTTCTTTTAACCACTCTGGCTAGTGGACAATGCCAGAGGGCACTAAACTACTGGTTGCAATTCTTGCAGTGCATCCATCGAATGGAAAGGAGGGAGCTGCAAAACAGAAAGGAGAGGAAAGGGGGGAGGGGGGAAACAAAGATAATGTAACAAGCTCCAATTAAACCTCAAGCTTCAACTTTTAATTTCTGGTGAACAACTTCCCTCCTAGATGTATTTCACAATGCAGCTCTTTCTTTCCTCCTCCCAGTTAATGTGCCACGGACCCATCTTTGAGTCGGCCTCAAACAAAGCTGGCCTAAGACGGATTGTCTCCCTTGCCAAACCCTTCTTTGTCTTTGCACCATCTGTTCTGAGCCGTTGCTGAGTGATGCGGCCCTGATCTCTCTGCATGTCACACACTTTCTCCTCGGGCTTTGCTGCAAAACGGGACACAGTATTCCATTCCTGCCTTAACCACTAGGCAAACTTTTTTTTTTTATACTTTATTGATTTTTTAAAAAAGATTTTTAAAAAGAAAACATCAAATCTCAGTTAACATCTGAGGTGTCGTGCGGTTACATATTTACATTATGTACATATCAAGTATCTTCAAATCTATCATTATTAGAAATAGACATATCCTTATAGTCTTGTTCTATTATTCCACCATTTGTACCACCTTTCCCATACTGCCTTAAATTTTGAGTTCTCATCGTCTTTAAGAACACTAGTTAATTTTGCCATTTCTGCGCATTCTAGGATTTTATTTATTATTGTCGGCACCTTCTTTCCTATGTGGTGGTCCTGCCCAGAGACAAAAAAGTTTTGGACAAAAATACGAATTTGGCTACGAGAAATAGTGGAAGAAGATATAAAACTTTCCCCCGAAATCTTTTTATTAGGAATGATGGGAGACGGACTCTCTAAGGACAAGATACAATTAATTATACATGTTATAACAGCGGCCAGATTAACCTTTGCAAAATACTGGAAGGATAAACAAACCCCTCCAGAGATGACAATAATAAATAACCACTAGGCAAACTTATTCTCGTGCATTTAGGTATGAGCATCACCTGGACATTAAAAAGGGCAAGACAGGAAGAACACTGAGTCGTATGAGACTGTGGTGCTGGAGAAGGCTCCTGGGTATTCCCTAGACAGGAAAGGTGACTAACAAGCAAGTACTGGAGCGCATAACACCAGATGTCACTGGAAGACAAAATACATCTCTCTTATTTTGGCCATTGTCACGTGGGAGAATTCACTAGAAGCAATTACGTTTGGAAGCGTTAGAGGCAAAAGGAACCAGGCAACCAAAGAACGCAGTGGCTGGACACTATCAAAGATGACACCAGCCAGAGCATAGGACAACTCAAAGAAGCAATGCAAGATCGGAAGATGTAGAGAGACCTAGCCCATAGAATCACCAAAAGTCGGACTTGACTGAATGGATAACATCAGCATCAGCTTCATGGGTATCACCTATCAAACAGAGGACTTTGAATCAAAACTTCTCTGGTCCAGATCTATCCATCACTACATCATTTGTTCCCATGCTCCATCACCAAGGAGCCAAAGATTGGCCTGACAATCCTTGTAACTGTTGCATCTTCAGGACATTGAATTCTGTTACAGGTGGGATGCATGACTGACACAGGACTACCAATTGAAAAGAAAATACAAATAGAAAATGGCTCAGGGTTGAACCGTGTGGTCCTTGATGCTGTCTGAGCTTGGGTCTTTTCTTGCAAACGTTTCATTACCCAACTAGGTATCATCATCAGTGCTAGAAGGCAACAGAGGGCAATCCCCACTCCCTCTATCTCTGCTGATGTTACCTAGTTGATACAGTACATTATGTTGCTCAAAGACTATTTCACATGATATATGAAGGTTTAAGATTAGGGTTCTTCACTCAAATTCCAATTATAGTTTTGTGTACCACTGCAAAATCTTAAACGTAAATCACAACTAGGGTTTTTAAAATAGAATCTCCCTCATCTTGATGCCAGAGAAAAGCTGTCCAGAGGTGAAAGCCATACTGACTAAATCCTTGGCATGAAGTGATGCACTTTGCTAATTTTTATTTCTCAAGAACTTTTAAAATGCCCTTTGGGGAAAAGGAAGAAATTAACCTGAGCCTAAATTAAATCTGTGCGTGTTGCTGAATATCTAAGTGTGACATTGAAAGACATACGGTATCTGGCTGCATTAGATCAGCCTTAGCAATATCTTGATTTAAAGTGTCTCAGGCAAAAGCATCAGAAGTGAGTTTCACAGCTAATGGATCAATCAATCTAAGGTCAAGTATTTTTGGAATAGCAATCTTTCTTTTAGTGCTTTTCCCACAATGATTTCCTCTTTCCGGGATACATTTCTCTTTTGCTGAGCTAAATCTAATCAAAATGTGCCGGAGCCTTCGGTTCTTTTCTTACCGCTTCTATAATTTGCAGTCTTTGCAAAATAGGAAGTAGTTATTAACTTTTGATGGCCAAATCTGGCTTTAGGTCCCATCCCACCTAGGAGTGAGCTGCTGGGGATTCGCAGGGGTTCAGGAGAACCTCTAGCTAAGATTCTGTGCAGTTCGGAGAACCCCCAAATCCCACTGCCCCATCCACCCTGCCCCTCCCCGCCCCTCCCAGGAGTCCCCACACGGCCCATTTTGGATGCAGATAAGTGCAGGGCGTGCGCGGAGGCTTGGGGAGGGCAAAAAACAGGCCTACCGGAAGTTTGGGAAGGCCAGAAACAGGCCTCCCGGAGGCTCGAAGAAACCCTCCGGAGCCCTGGGAGGGCAAAAATAACCACCCCCCTGCTGTGGTGCAGGAGGCCAACTAGGCCACGCCCACCATGGCCACGCCCCCCCAGCAACCAGGCAGAGAACCCCTTGCTAAAATTTTTGAAGCCCACCCCTGGTCCCGCCTTGGCTTACCTTTTCCAACAAGCAACGGAGTCGGAAGATCATGTAAAAGCAATTTATTAGAATACTCTGATAAAGCAGGATCTCCCTGGGAAAACAGGGAACTGGGAAAAATGGCTTACATTTACTTTTATAGTTAGCACAACAAAGAACTTCAAAAGCTGTTTGGTTTAGAAACTGTCCAGTTATATCACAAAAATTAAAAGTATCCAATAACAGGTGAGCAGTCATAGAAAAGAGGATTGTAACTCTGAGTAAAAGAAACATTTGTAAAGGAAAAACATCAAACTCGGTATGGGTAAGATACGTTCTCAGCGCTTCCCAAAATTGGGCTTGAATATTTTCTTTGTTCATGGGGGCTTGGAAACAGCTAAAATACAGTGTAGCGAATGTTCTCCTGCTACTCCTGGGTTTCTGAAAGAAGGACTGTTCTTGAAACTCAAGCCTCATAGCAAAATTATTAGCCTTACATTTGAAAAAAAGCAAATTTAACATTTAAATTTAAAAAGAAAACCCATGTTAGTTACCGTAACTAGGGGAACAGTACTACACAAATCAAGTTTCAAGTATTTCAAAGTCCATCCTGCGTGACCCACACTTACTTATTCCGTTTGGACAATCTCTCACTTGTAGAGAAGCAGAAGGGAATTTTCCAGGCGTCCAAAGCATTTTTATTTTCCATTTTGTTTTCCAGTAAAACCCAGACAGGCTATAAGCCCAGAGCGAGAAGCCACAGACCGCTGCTTCCTCTGAAGATTTGTTGGCACTAATAAAATAAGATTTTGTAGACCAAGAGAGATTCGTATCTTTCTACTCTAGACGACTAAGCCTGTTCTGGTTCTCACCAGCAGAGTTTCTTAAGACAAAATGCAGGAGAAATTTGCCACCTGCCAACCAAGAGAGCTGGACAGATCCGAGCCTGTGCTACATCATTACAGGTAGTCTTCAACTTACAACCATTCATTTAGCGAACATTCAAAGTTACACCACCATTAAAAAAAAAGTTCACTTACAACCAGTCCTTGCACTTATGACCATTGCAGCATCCCCATGGTCACATGATCAGAATTTGAGCACTTGGCAACTGGCATGTATTTATGACACTTGCATTGTTCTGCGGGTCATGTGATCGTCATTTGCAACCAGCTTCTAACAAGCAAAATCAACGGAGGAAGCCAAATTTGCTTAATGACCATGAGCAGGGCCGGATTTTCCTATAGGCTAACTAGGCTTCAGCCTAGGGCCTCAAGATCAAGAGGGGCCTACATTCAAATTGTTAGCAAAATTAAAATTACACTATTCTAAAAACAGTGAACACTAAAACACTGAACCGAAAATAAGGAGAAATTCTACACATATGACTAATAAACAAACATAAAAACTTAAAAATGGGAGGTGAAAGGGCCTCATAAGTGGAATAGCCTAGGGCCTCTTTTCATCTAAATCCGGCCCTGACCATGAGATTCACTTAACAACCGTGGCAAAAAAAAGGTCATAATCAGGTACAACTCAGTTAATAACCATCTTGCTTAACAATAGAAATTCGGGTCCTAATTGTTGTAAGACAAATTAAATTAAATTAAGTTGAGGACTACCTGGACTATGGATTGTCACCGGGGCAATATCTGTGGCAGGAAAAACTGGAAAAATACCAATTTCACCCCAGATCATATAGCTCTGAAGTTAGATGGCAGCCTAGGCTTCAGGCTGGAGTTCAGGGGAAAATTATGTTAGGGCAATGGTTAGTGAGGTTAGAGTGGTAATTTGGTCCTTGAACCCAAATTAGTGGGAAACAGTACAGGTCAGTCCTTGATTTACAACAGTTAATTTAGTGATGGTTCAAAGTTACAACGGCACTGAAAAAAGTGACTTATGACAATTTTTCACATGACTGTTTCATGGTCACGTGACCAAAATTCAGCTGCTTGGCAACTGACTCATATTTATGATAGCTGCAGTGTTCTGGGATCATGAGATCCCCTTGTCACTTTCTGATAAGCGAAGTCAATGGGGAAGCCAGATTCACTTAACAACCATATTACTAGCTTAACAACTGCAGTGATTCATTTTAACTATGTGGCGAGAAAGGTTGCAAAATGGGACAGAACCAGGGGTGAAATCCAGCAGGTTCTGACAAGCTCTGGAGAACCGGTAGCAGAAATTTTGAGTAGTTCAGAGAACCAGTACATACCACCTCTGGGTGGCCCCAGATTGGGGTGGGAATGGAGATTTTGCAGTATCCTTCCCCTAGGAGTGGGATGGGAATGGGGATTTTGCAGTATCCTTCCCCTAGGAGTGGGGTGGGAATGGGGATTTTGCAGTATCCTTCTCCTGGAGTGGGGAGGGAATGGGGATTTTGCAGTATCCTTCCCCTGGAGTGGGGAGGGAATGGGGATTTTGCAGTATCCTTCTCCTGGAGTAGGGAGGGAATGGGGATTTTGCAGTATCCTTCCCCTGGAGTGCGGTGGGAATGGAGATCTTGCAGTATCCTTCCCCTACCATGCCCACCAAGCCATGCCCACCAAGCCATGCCCACGGAATCGGTAGTAAAAAAAATTTGGATTTCACTACTGGACAGAACTCACTTAACAAACGTCTCACTTAGCAACAGAAATGTTGATCTCAATTGTGTTTGTAAGACGAGGACCACCTTTTTGTTGTTGTTAGTTGCGAAGTCACATCCAACCCAATGGACAACTTTACTCCAGGCCTTCCTGTCCTCTACCATACACTTGAATAAATACTTCAATTCTGTGTGCTTTAAGTGTGTTGATGAAGAAGTTTTATAGCCGAATTATATTATTGTATATTTCTCAGTTCAATTTAATTAATGGAGACATCCACTAGCCCGTTCTTAAGATTACTCTTCGGTTCGCCGTTATGTTGCTCCATTGCAGCATTTTTCCAAACTTGGCAATTTTAATGCTGGCTGTGGAATTCTGGGAGTTGAAGTTCACCCATCTTTAAATGGCCAAGTTTGAAAAACACTGCTCTATTTTGCAGGATAACTTTTGCAAGGTTTCATTATCATTGGACCCAAGTGGGGTTTGTTTTTTTTCCCCCTTACTTCCAAACATCTCTGCTTGCAAAAGAGGTGTAAAACGTAATCCTTGTGCAATCTTCATACATAATGTGCATATTGACAGCTCGCAGTATCTGTCGCAATATGTTTTGCTGAGCAGCTCCAGCCAATCTTGATGCTCAGAGGTAAATTATTTTAACTAAGTCATCAGAACTGACCAAGCCACTTAATGTGTTAATTAATTCTAATCACTGTTTGTCTCCATTTAATTGTACAGTCTTGCTAAGACCGGGAGTATTTAGCACATCCACTCTTGAGCAGATTCATGCCTGATTTTGCTGCAGGCTATAGTTAAAATTCCTACTATTACAAATGCAGGCACACAATCTTGCTGGTATATATGCCAATCTGGAAAACTCTGGATTTCCCAAGTCTAAAAAGTCAGCTGGGAGTTTTGTTTCTGTTAACCTTTACGTTCATTTTAGCAGTGATGAAAATCAGATATTTTTTATTTTTATTTTTAAAGGCCAAGCAGAGACTATTTAACACATGACCTTAAGTTGTTCAGGAGCTGCTGCTCTCAGTTCTTTACCCTAAGCCACGATAAACTTTCCATTTGGACTTTTACAAGGTTGGTTAGAAGGTTCTTCTTTTGAAGCAAACAGAAAATATCAGATAGATATCCCTTTGCCCTATTCATTCAAACGGCAGATCTTTTTGTCCTTTGGTTAAAAGAAAACATGTTTTCTTGCTGGGTGGTTTTTTTTTCCTGTGGAAAGATAGTAAAATACCGAGCTTTGTAAAATGCATACATCTCACACAACATTGCTTCTGGATCTTCTATTTATCTGCAGGTAGTCCTCGACATACGACCACAATTGAGCCCAACATTTCTGTTGCTAAGTGAGACGTTTGTTAAGTGAGTTTTGCCCCCCATTTCACAACCTTTCTTGCCCTGGTTGTTAAGTGACTCACTGCAGTGGTTAAATTAATAGCAGGGTTGTTGAACCCCAGGACACTGCAACGGTCATAAATATAAACCAGTTGCCAAGCATCTGAATTTTATTCCCATGAATGTGGGGATGCTACAATGGTTGTAAGCAGTGGTGAAATCCATTTTTTTTTACTACCGGTTCTGTGGGTGTGGCTTGGTGGGCGTGATGTGGCTTGGTGGGTGTGGCTTGGTGGGCATGGAAGGGGAAGGATACTGCAAAATCCCCATTCCCTCCCACCACCTGGGGGAAGGATATTTCAAAATCTCCATTCCCACCCCACTCTGGGACCACCCAGAGGTGGTATTTGCCAGTTCTCTGAACTGCTCAAAATTTCCGCTAGTGATTCGCCAGAACCTGTCAGAACCTGCTGGATTTCACCCCTGGTTGTAAGGGTGAAAAATGGTCATAAGCCACTTTTGTAACCATTGTTGCCATTGTAACTCTGAATGGTCACTAAACGAACTGTTGTAAATTGAGGGCTTACTTACTGTACTTCTGAGACAGGGTTGGTTTGCACATAATAAATCATTAGCTGGCAGGCCCATAATACATCTTATCCCATCTGATAAACTGCCAAAATACAGTAGAGTCTCTCAGAAAAATTACCCCAAATTCAACTTGATTTATTTTTAGAAGAGTTTGATTCTGACTGTCAGATGTAAATGCCTTATTCTCCAATGTGTAAATAATGTATATATGGAACATCAGAGGTTAACTTATTCTTTGGACTTTAATGTATTCATAACTTACCACTCCCATTCCTAGCTCCACCCCTTGTATATATAAGGAGCCACCCTCACCATTCTCGTCGCTTCTACCTTGAATATTCAGTGAATATAGAATGCCTATCATAATTAAAAAGAAATATATTTAAAGCTCTAACTCCTATTATCTTTATTGAGTCTGATCCTGAAAATATTGCAACACTGACAATGGGGATGAGTGGCAGATGTTAGGTTATCTCACCTGAGAACTGGGAAAAATTTGTCCGTTCCCACCCCCCCACCCCCCATCCCAAAGTTATAATGTGTTTAGATGTCCATTAACAACAATATGGAAGTAATTTTGGTATTGCTGCCTGCAGTGGTTTTCTTGGCTTGTACTGCTGTCTTGGTTTTCTGACTTCCAAGTCCAATCTACATCTTGGATTTTTGGGTTGCGCTCTATCCAAGCATTAACCAACACTGTCTTTCCTTAGCTTTCACGACCAGCTAAGATTATTTAAATTCAATTACAATCTACTACAATGTTTCTCAGCCTTGGGAATTTTCAGATACGTTGACTTCCCCAGCAAAGCTGGCTGGGAAATTTGGGGAGTTGAAGTCCACACATCTTAAAATTCCACTGATCTGCTATGTTCAAGTCAACTGGAATGGACAGTACAGCCAAGACTAATCATCGACACACAGTCTTTCCTCTTCTTTTTTTCTAAGGTCTCCCACTAATATTTAGAGCAGACCAGTAGTGGGTTTCACCTACTTTCGCTACCGGTTTGGAACTGTGAGCGTGTGCACGCGCTCGCTTCGGTCATGCTCGGTGCTTCTGCGCATCCGCAGAGCGTCCGTGATGACATCCGGGCGGGTGGGCGGAGCCTCCCGCCGCCATCGCTACCGGTTCGCCCAAACTGGGGCGAACCGGTAGAAACCCATCACTGGAGCAGACATACCATGCGATAACACTACACAGAACTCCCAAACTTCACATCCTACAGGCAAACGAGCAGGAATGGAGAAATTTTGCATACAACAACGTCCTGTTTTAATCCTTAGCTTTAGCATCCTTGCCGTGGGCAGTCCGAGCTTTCAAAATGGTGACATGTGAAGAAAGACCCGCCTCTCCTAGAAGAATGAAATATTTCGAGAAATATTAAAAAGGCAGAATATTATATTTCCCTAAAGGAGGAACGGAGAAACATGCTCTTGGAGACAGAAATAATTTTCTTAATAGCCCCCAGCAGATATTCTTTGCCCATTAAGAAAGATTGGGCCATCCTATCTACAAAACAAAAAACCTTCAGCTCCAGGATGATGGGATTAAGACAGGGCCCTCCAGGACATAATAGGATTAGCAGCGGAGCTCACTACATTGCACAATCTCTTAAGGACATTGCTTCATCCTCAGAAACATCAACCAAACTTCTCAGGCAACCTACAGAGCCAGCTATGACCCCT